CATCAGCCTCATCCCTCCTTCTATCCCTCCTCCCTCCCTTCCTGCAAATCCTCAGCGCTGTTCCTCCTCTGGCCGCTCTCTTGTGCGTCTCCTCCTCCTGTTGCTCCTCCTCCTCCTCCTCCTCCTCCTCGCATCGTCAGCATCATAAGCAGCATCATCATCAATAGCATCATCATCATCAGCATCATCACCACCACAACCACCGCCATCAACATCATCATCATCATCATCATCATCATCATCGTCATCATCACCATCAGCAATCATCAGCATCATAATCATCCGCAGCAGCAACAGCAATATCATCACCAACAACAATCGCATGATCCTCCCGACTCTGTCCACCCATCCTCCGCGGAAGCCCTCTCCTCCTTGGTCAAACTTCTCCGCCCATCCCATCATTCCGTCCCTCGCCTCTCCGCCATCACCCTTACCTATCCTCCTCCTTCTCCTCCGCTTCATCATCGTTATCATTGTCCGTATCATCATCATCATCATCATCATCAACATCAACATCATCATCAGCATCAACATCAACATCATCATCATCATCGTCATCATCATCAGCATCGTCATCATCATCATCACCACCATCCACCTCGTCATCAATTGTATCATCCTCTATTTCCGCCACCGTTTCCCTCTCCAACTCTCATTGACCCCCCCTACACCCGCAACCACGACGACAAACACATGAACGCTCAACCACACCGCTCACAGAAGCCACAGCGCCAGTTCGAAACGACCCTCCAAAGTCTGATGCCCTGCAGGAGAGCTCAACATGTTGTCGTCGCGTCGGAAATTATCGTCGTATGCTGTCGTCGGAAATCGGTTGTCGTCTTCGGCGTCGTAAATGACTGTCGCCGGGCGACGCAGATAGGTGGCAGGACGGGGGCGGGGAGAAGGAAAACAACAGCAGGAATGAGGAAGGGGCGCAGGGGGAGGAGGGAGAAGGAGGAGGAGGAGAAGAAGGAGGAGGAGAGGGACGAAGAGGAAAACACATTATGATGAGGAGGAAAAGATATGATGATGATGATGATGATGAGGAGGAGGAGGAGGAGGAGGAGGAGGAGGAGGAGGAGGAGGAACGTTTTGGAACGTTTTGGCAAGCAACATCGTGCAACGAGAGGCGGGCAGGGCAAGAGAGGGAGAGAGCAGCAAGCAGGAACGCACGTGCCTAAGGCACCCCCTTTAATCGGAATCGCTGCTAGGGTCGACAGGGAGATGGACGGGAGGCGCCTCGTCCACCGAAACAGTCAAAGCCTCTCCGACGCCCTGAGTCACAGCCAATTACGACGGGATGGGATCTCGCGCTCGAACTCGCTGATCGGCCACGGCAGAAAACCGAGCGTGGCGGAGCAGGACACTCGTTTTGGACGGGCCTGCGTAACTTGGGTACAAGACACGACGCATTCGGGCCAGATGTTCAATGCCCTTGCGAGAGGGTACTTTACAGTCAAGCACCAACTGGCGCCCGTCCGAAGTAGCCGCACGGCCAAAACACGGGCAAAAGTACAAACTATGCAAATCCCAACACGCAAGCTTGTGGGACGGATGCAAGACCGCTCCAGACAACGTGACGGGGCCAGGGACCACCACGACAACGTCGGAGGGGAAGGAATCCACCCCCACAGCAGGGATGCAAGGCGCCTTGGAGACCTGGTCAATCTTATCACACAACACCTCGCAACTCCTGCAACGAAACGCGCTGCCGAAAGTCACAAACTTGTGCGGGGAGACGCGAAGCGCCCGGTCAACCTTCGAACCCTGCCTCGCTCTCTCCAAGGGCGCAACAGCAGGGCGGGCCTTCCTGGGGTCGGCCGCGGACGAGTCGACCAGGGCGCGCCGCGCTCTCCTTCTAATTAGGGCGGCCTGGGCATCCCAGAAATCAGTTCGAGGGTCCGTGCGGGCCGAAAGGAACCAGGAACGTTCCGCGGCCTCTGAGGCCGCACGGTCCGCAAGTTGATTTCCAGACCTGAGGAAAACCTGGCGGGCCGTCAGGCCCTCGGCCTCAGTGTGCAAGTGAGAAGCCGTCCACTCCAAGGCTACTAAACCTTCACCTCGCGAAGCAAGAGCGGTCTTAATTCGGAGCCACAACTCCCAATTCCTCCCGCCCGCAGCACTAACCCGACCCCGCCCCCAACCAGTAGTTCAGGGAAAGTGGTCCGTGACATAATGAACGGGGCCAGTGGTGCCCTCAAGGCACAAGGCGAAAGCCAACAACTCAGTGCGGGGGACCGTTTGGGCTCTTCCCACTAAAACTCCAAAAACGCCCCCAACCGCTTCCCACGTCGACGCCCCTGGGGTTCTACTGACCGAAACAACCGCCGCGCCACAACGGCGGCGCCGAGGGTCGGAGGAAAACCGCCCTCCCGAACCGTCTCCAAAAACAACCAGGGGATCAGGGCCAACAGAGGACAATTCGGTCAGGGGCGTCGAACCGAGAAGTTTCAATCCTCCGCTTCGGGTGGGTCCGCAAACTCAGGGTGAGCATGGTCGGTCGGGGGAACACCTCTAAGCCACAAGGCAGGATTCATATCACAATTAACGAGTGCTTGAGACACTAGGGGAGCCGACAAAGAATAATCCTCGTGATCCTTATTACACTCGCACTCCCAGATGCGGCGCCTCAGAGTCTCAGGCGCCTTCAGACACCTGGGGCACCGCTGCTGCTCCTCCGTGCCCGTCGGGAACTGGCGCGCCCGCGGCCACTGCGCTCCAGCAGCCACACAAAGTGTCTGGCCAGCCTGGTCGTAGAGCCCTTTCTGCGAGAACTTCACAAACTCTCGGCGAGCCCAAATAGAGATCAGCACCTCCAGCGAGATCTTCAGCTCCCTCGTGCTCAGAGGCTCGAGACCAAAGCTGAGCGTAAAAATCAAGCATAACGTCCTCCAGCACCCCGCCCACATCCATCTCATCGCCAGAAAATCCATCCAGAGACAATGTGGGGATCTTCGATTCAGCAAATCCGCCATGCTCTGGACGCCACCAGGAAGTAGCTGAGGATGGTTTCCAGCCAGCATCAAGCAACGTGTCAATCACTGCAGACACTGGTCCCTTGACCAATCGCCATCGCCCAGCCCGCCCCGCAATCTCCAGACGACGCAGGACTTTCGGCCAGGATGTTTCAACTCTCTGGTGAAATTCAGGATGCAGGCGCCAGGCCGACAGATACTCAGCCAGAAGCTGGCGTCCCAGCTCCAAGGCGGGATCTTTCTGACCATACAGACTGGCTAATGTTCAACGGGCCTGCTCCTGGCGTAGCCGCCTGACGTCGAAGGCGAAGGAGCTGTTAGGGTGCAAGGCCATGAGCTTGATGTCCATATGCTGCCTGCGGCAACGCTCCAGTCTTCCACAGGCCCTGAGAGACCTTGCGGAGCCGTGTATGACGCCGAAAACGCTGCAGACGAGCAACACGGCGATCCGCGTTAGCAGGGCGCTGAGAAGATTTGCGAGGCGTCCTCCGTCCACCACCTGTGGCGCCGATACCAAGGCCTACCGCCTCCAAACAATACTGCGCTGGAGTAGACTTGCGACGAAGCTTCTTGGCCAACTTTTTGTCCAAGGTGATCACATTAGAGATAAACACCGTCTGAGGAGAGACCACCAACCGCATGGCATCCAAACCCTGCTTGAACTCAGAACTGGCCTGAGCGCGCTGCAGCGGCGGGTGCAGGAAGAGCTTGGCTGACCGCGCCCCATAAGGGGAACCCGCCAGCAGAGACCGAGTCGACAGGATGGCGTTGGATGCTCCCTTCTGGCCACGAAGAAAGCGGGGGCCAGCACATAACTGCACCTCCAGGCATAGCACAATGGGCGGGCACCCCAACTGCTGCGCAGCGCAGCCCAAAAGGACCCAGGACAGCGAGTCGTAAAACTTCTCGAAGTCCAGCAGCAGTGTGGCCACCGTGATGCCCAGCACCGTCGCCGTCTCGTCAAGTAGAGCCCTCAGGAAAGCAGCGCGTAAGGCGCTGCTGCCTGCAATAGCTGTGTCCCAGTGCGCCTCCAAACTTGCAGTCCACTCTGAGGTGGCACCACAGCGCAGGCGGCTCCAGATCTTAGCAGACTCAGCCAGGAGCCCAATGACCCTCTCCCCTCCCTTGGGTTTGGGAAGAGGGCGGGGGGGGGGGGAGGGAGAAGGACGAGGTGGGTGCGGGGAAGCGAGGCAGGAGGACGAGACAGGTCGGGGCGGAGGAAGACAGGGCGGGGAAGGAGGAGAAGGAGGAGGAAGAGGAGGAGGAGGAGGAGGAGGAAGACGAGGTGGAGGAGAAGGAGGACCAGTGTAAACCCAAGACTCGTCGACGATGTTAGAACCAACCAACCCTCCAAGCTCCCTCTTCGTAGGCCCCTACATGGGTTCATTTCCACTGAATTACTGCTTCGTTGGGAGACAACCGTTCTAAGACCCTGAAGCGTGCCACAACACCATTCTCCGAGCTACAACGCGGATCACCCTGACTGTTGCGTCTTGACGATCCTGAATCGCGCCAGAACGCTATCCCTGGGATTTCAACACCGCGAACCAACGTAACTGTTACACCCTCACAAACTTGAGCCCTTCCAAAAAACATTTCTGGTGCGCTGGCCATGTTCAAAACGAATGTGCGCGGCGCGAAGGCGGGAACCACAATTTGAAAATCATCCGCTCTCAACCCATGAAACTCTTGCACAAGTTCAAAGCGAGTGCGCGCGACGCTAAGGCGAGAACCACATGATGAACACGGCCCGCGATCAATGCGTAAAGCTCTTGCAAATGTCTGAAGTGATTGTGCGCGGCGCTAAAGCAAGAGCAACATGTTGGAAACGATCCGCCCTCCATCTGTGAAGCTGTTGCCAATGTGATAACTTCAGGGTAATCAACCGTGAACGCACTCTCATGCGAAACGACCGGCACGCCCTTTCGACCGGCCTCAGGGTGCGACAGGGACTCAGGGTGCGACAGGGAGGGATTAGTCATAAGGAGCAGGAGTGGAGGAGGGGGGGAGAGGTGAGGAGGAAGAGGAGGACGATGAGGAGGAGGAGAAGGAGGAGGAGGAGGAAAAGGAGGTGGAGGAGGTGGAAGAATGCTGCCCCGCCGGGCGGATTGCTGATCTCCCCCCTTGGCGCCTCCATGTCTTCGCCAGCGCGGCTACAAAAAACGGCACGGCTCCCGCGGACGGATGTCCCTCCGCCACCCACCGCCACCGCACCAGCCCACAGCAGGGGAGAGAGAGAGAGAGAGAGAGAGAGAGCACGACAAGAGAAAAGAGGGGAAGAGGGGGAGGAGGACGGGGAGGAGGAAGAACAGGGGGAGAAGGAAGTGGAGGTGGGGACGGAAGACGGGCACCATCGGCGGAAGAGGAGGTGGATTATCTGGCGTGCTGACGACGACGGAGGGAAGGGGAGGAAGAAAAGGGACGGAAGAGGAAGCTGACAGATCAGGGTGGGAGAGGAGGGGGGGGGAAAAGATGGAGGAGGGGGTGGAAGATGAAGAGAAGGAGGGATGTGAGGAGCCGAAAGACGAAGAAGTTCAGCAGGGAAGAAGGACGAGGCTCGGGGCGGTGTGAACGGGCTGGAAAAAAAGGGGGGACGGCAGAGCGAACGGAGGACGGACGATGAGGGAACGGGAGGGGAGAGAAAGGGAAGGGGCGTGAGAGGGAGGAGGTGGCGGAACGGAGGACAAGGGGGGAACACGAGGCCCCTTGTCCCCTCTCATCCCTCCTCCTCAGCCAATGCCTGTTCCGCCTATGTATCCTCCCCCGTCTCCCCCTTCTCCTCCTCCTCCTCCTCCTCCTCCTCCTCCTCCTCCTCCTCCTCCTCGTCCTCCTTCTCCTGCTATTTATCCTCCCCCATCCTCCTCCTCTTCCTCCTCCCCCCCTCCTCCTCCTCTTCCTCCAATGTGTCCCTCTCGTCCGCCTCCTCCTCTTCCTCCTGTTCCTCCTCCTCCTCCCCCTCCTCCTCCTCGTCTTCACCGTCCATCACATCCACGCAAACGCTGGAATTCCTCAACGCCCTCGTTCTACTCAGGTGTATCATGTTCCAACCCCTCCTCTTCTCCACCCTCTCTCCCCTTTTTTCTAAAACAAAAAAGACAAACAAACCATTCACACACCGCAGCACAACACTTCCAAACATAATGGGGCACCCTCCACCTACTCCAACTTCTCCGCCTCCAGCACCTGCTCATATTATGTTTCTCCCCATGCCACCCTCCGCAATCCTAATCCGAATCCTCCTAATCCGAATCCTCCCCCTCGTCCCATTCCTTCTCCTCCCCCACCTCCTCCACCTCCTCCACCTCCTTTTCCTCTTCCTCCCCCCCTTCCCCCCCTTCATCCCCCTTCGCCAGGCATGCCTGCGAGAGCCAACATGCACCATAACACTTCATCATGTTCATCTTCATCCCCTCCTTCATGCAATCCACCGATCCGGCGTGTGAGCTTCAAAGACCTTCAGAAGAGCCCGAGCCTCCATTCCTGAATTTGAGTTCTACTGGGGGGGGGGGGGGGGGGGGGGGGGCCCGGGTGTTTCTGCCGGTCGGGGGGGGGGGGGGGGAGGTCGATTCAACTCCCGGGGCAGAATCGGAGCTCCAGCTCACTCCGGGACGGCCCCCGCGCCCAGGAGGGCCCCAACGTGGGCCAAGAGGGCCCCGAGTCGCCGAACGATCGCTACAAGACACCCAAGATGTCTCCAAGACGGCTCCAGAAGCCTCCAAGATGCCGTCAGAAACCCTGAAGAGGAAAGAAAAAAAGGCCCAACGAAACAAAGCATGTCCGATTTCCTGCAGTAGACGTACAATTATAGCAGATTCGCCTCCTGGGCCTTCAGAGCACCGCAGACGCCCCGAGAGAGCCCCAAAACGGCCCAAGCAGCCGCCACGAGGGCTCCAAGACGGCCCAGGAAGGGCCCAATATGGCCCAGGAGACCCCCGGAAAGGCCCAGGAGGGCCCCGGGACGGGCTGAAAAGGAGCCTGAGAGGGAGCCAAGAAACAGTTTTTGTTTTTTTCGGATCGGCGATAACCTGGGTTATCCGGGGGGGGAGGGGAGGAGGAGGGGGCCGGGCGATAACCGAACTTTCGCGCTGTGGACAACCCCGCATTTGCCCGCGGCCACCCGCCCCGGACCTGCACAAAGGTTTAATTTTCCTGGTGTGGGGGCGGGGGGGGGGGGGCAACCCCGATAACCCGGGTCATCGCTGGACCCTAAAACAAGAAACAATCTCCAAGACGGCGGGAAAAATACCGAATGCGGCCCAAGAAGCCCCCAGCAGGCCCCCAGAGGCCCCAAAGTGGCCTGAAGAGGGCCCAAGACGCTTCCAACAGGGCCCGGAGAGGCCCCCTGGAGCCCCCTGAAGGCCCCCAAGATATTCGAAAAAGATAACGAAAACGCCTTCTAGAGGCCCCTAAGCTGCCTCCAAGACTCCCTCCGAGAAGCCCAAAACAAGCCCCAACGCCACCACGGCGCCCACGTCTGAACACAATCGCTGCACGACAAAAACTTCTTCCACAACTACTCCCGTCTTCGGTGTCCTTCACACCGATGATCCCACAAGGGCCCGCAGAGGACCGTGCGAAGGCCCCAAAGACCCAATAAACACCTTGGCTCCCAGCAGAAACCGGCGATGCACAAAGCTCCACAAAGAACTGTGACGCAGACAGCTCCAGCACAAAGCCTTTCAGAGAGTGCGCCAAATCGGCGAGGTGTCAACCCAAAGAGGGCCAACACCTTGCCCCAAAGAGGCTTTCCAACAACCGCCGAACATCTCCAACAACCGCCGAACATCCCCGTATCCTCGTCATGCTCCTCATTCTCCCCCTCCCCCTCTTCCACTTCCCGTTTCTTCCTGTTTCTCCTCACCCTCGGCATCCTGCTACTCCTGCCCATCCCCCCCCCGACCCCAACGACCCCCCTCCACCTCATCATGATCCTCCTCCTCCTCCTCCTCCTCCTCCTCCTCCTCCTCCTCCTCCTCCTCCTCCTCATCATCATCATCATCATCCTACTCCGTCGCCTCCAATCCCACTCTTCATCATCATCCTCGCCGCTTGCCGTCGTCGCCGGTCATGACCGGGATCGTGCGCTTCCGGCAGCAACGGGAACGTCCAGGATCGGCGGCACTGACAGGAGGAAACTACAATAATTTCCCTGCTCCCCTTTATGGGGGGGCGGGCAAGACAGCGTTCGTTCGAGAGTTACGTCGGGGGTGGGGATGGGGGCTGGAAAGCCTAGCCTCTCCTACCTGCCTGAACCCATGGAAGCAAGCTCTCTAGACCCAACAACATCTGACACGTCATACAATTCCCCCCCTCCCTCCATCCACTCTCCTCCATCTCCCTCCTTCCTGTCCTGCTAAATAGACGGAACAATCAGAAACCGTGCCCAGTCTTCCCGATCACCTCCCTGAATCCGGATCCCTCTGACCTCCTCGCTCCGAAATCCTCCCGTCCTCCTCTCCTCAGACAATGTTCCCTCATCGTCGTCCTCCTCCGCGTCTCCCTCCTCCTCCTCCTCCTTTTATCCCTCCTCCTTGTCCTCCTCCTGCTCCTCCTGTGTCCATTCTCTGTCCGGGTCGCCTCTGACCCCCCCTCCAGTCCTCATCTCCTCCTCGTCCTCCTCCCCCCTCCTCCTCCCCTCCTCCTCCTTCTATTAGTATTCCTATTATGGTTCTTCTTCTTATGAATATTATTACTATTATGATGATTTTTACTATTACCATTATTATTATTATTACTACTACTACTACTACTACTACGACTACGACTACGACTACGACTACTACTAGTACTATCTACTAATACTACTACTACTCTACCACCACCACTACCTACTACTACTACTACTACTACTAACTTAATTACTACCACTACTACTACTACTACTACTACTACTAACTCTACTACTACTACTACTACTACTACTACTACTACTCACGACTACTACTAGTACTACTAGTAACTACTATTAAACTATACTACTACTACTACTACTACCACAACCACTACTACTACTACTACTACTCGGACTACTACACTACTACTACTACTACTACTACGACTACTACGAACTACTACTAGTACTACTAGTACTATCTACTACTACTACTACACTACTACTACTACTACTACTCTACTACTACTACTAAAATACTACGACTACGACTACGCTACGAACTACGACTACTATTACTACTACTCTACTACCACCCACTACTACTACTAACTACTACTACTACTAACACTGACTATTACTACTATCGAGTGCTAACTACTTACGCTAATACGACCTACTACTAGTACTACTAGTCTACTATTACTACTAACTTACTACTACTACTACTACTACATACTACTTAGTACTTACTCGACGACGACGACGACGAAGGACGACTACTACTACTACACTACCACTTACTACTACTACTACTACTACTACTACTACCACTAATTACTACCACTGCACTATACTACTACTACTACTATCTACTACTACTACTACTACTACTACGACGACGACGACGACGACGACGACGACGACGACGACGACGACGACGACTACGACTACGACTACGACTACGACTACGACGACTACTACTACTACTACTACTACTACTACCACTACTACTACTACTATTATTATTATTATTATTAATATTAGTATTATTATTAGTATGATTCTTCCTTCTCCTCCTCCTCCTCCTCCCTCCTCCTCTTGTAGCCCCTCCCGTTTCTACCTCCTCGTCTCGTCTCTGCCTCTGTCTCTCTCTCTCTCTCTCGGCATTCTGGGGCAACCGCTCCAGGAGCGTCCTCGATGACGCGCTGGTTCTCGACGCAACGCGCACTCCCTCTTGAGCGTCGTTCAACCGAACCTCATCCCCACACCAGCGTGGGCTAGGCCCCGCTGGCCGATGTATCCCCCCTAGATGGGGATACCGGCTGCTCTCCTAGGGTTTCGACGGGTGTGTCCTCCACAGGGGCGGTGATATGGTGGGAATCGGGATGGGGGATGGTGATGGGGCCGCTGAAACGATACAGATCTACTGCTGGCGCCGCCGCACGTGTCACCGCGGGGCGACGCGATGCTCGCCGGAAAGCCGGGGGCGCCTCGCGCGTCCGCCCCGCGCTGCTCCTCAGCGCCGTGCTGGAGGAGCACTTGTGTGGCCGTACCCCGAAGCCGACACCCCGTGCGCTGACTCCCCCTCGGAAGGCACTGCCCGTGGCCGCACCCTGGCCGACACCGCGCGACGCCCCGCACCCTGAGGCCGACACTCCAGCGCAGAACCACTCCACCCAGAGGGGCGGCGAACCCGCCTCGGCGTGGAACACTTGCGCCTGCCGCGAGCTCGTCCTGGGGCCATGGGGGTCCGCCTCTCGAGCTCGGCCGAGCCTCTGTCCGCCCAGTACTCCACTAGCGCGGCCCTGAGCACGGGAAAGACCGCCAGGGCCGCCAGGATGACAGCGCGGAGGGCCTGCGCGGGGCCCTCGGTTGGCACCTCGTCCATCCTCTCGCCCTTGTCCTCCACGGTCGGTTCCACCGCCTGCGGCACGCGCAGGGCCACGAGGCCCCTGGGCACCCCGCCAGCGACAGCCTCGCCGCTGCCCTCCACGGCAGCTCCGCCAGCTTCAGCCGCGGCACCCGCGGCTGCCGCCGCCAGCTACGCCCCCCTCTCGGCAAAGCCCCTCAACGACGGGGCCGTCAGCGTCGCCAGCACGAGCTCTGGCCCTCCGCGCGTGACGGCGGCGCCGCGGGGGCCTCCTCCTGGGCCGGGAGCTCCTCGGGCACCATGGCAGCCCGCCTGGAGAGGGACTGCAGCTCGGCGACCGCGGCGCGACACATGTCCTCCGCGTTCCGCAGCAAGCGACGCCCGGCACGCGTCGGGAGCGGCCAAGAGGGGGGTGTCCAAGAGGGGGGGGGTGCAAATCATGACCGGCGGCATGTGCGCGGCCCAGCGGGGGGGCCTGGGACGTAACGAAATCAGAAGAGGCGCCATGAAATCTGGGGAAAAATCATGGCCCGCGCCATGAAATCCACCCCCCCGAGTCATCACCCCCCTCTTTTCCGCCCCCGAACGCGGAGCTGGAGCGCGAAAGGCCTGCCGCCCGGTGCGTGGCTGGGCACGCCCCGCGGGCGGCCGCCAGCGCACTCGGCCAGCGCACGGCGCTGCGGTGCCACGGACATCCAGCGGCTGCGGGCGAGCGGCCGACGTCTACGGCGCCCAGCGGCGCGAGGCTTGGGCCAGGATGGCTGAACTCTCCCGTAACTCATGCACTCACCCACCCACTCACTCACACTCTCTCTCGCTCTCTCTCTCTCTCTCTCGCTCTCTCTCTCTCTCATTATCTCTCTCTCTCATTATCTCTCTCTCTCTCTCTCTTTCAGTCTCCCTCCATCTCTATCTCTCTCTCTATCTCCCTCTCCTTCTCTCTCTATGTCCCTCTGTCTCTCACTACCTCTCACCCTCTCACTCTCTGTGTCGCGGCCCTCTCCTCTCCTCTCCTCTCCTCTCCTCTCCTCTTCCTCTTCCTTCTGCTCCCTTTCCGTCGCTCTCCGACACCGCCCCCCCTTGCTGCCCGCCCCTCGGCGCTGCGACCGCCGCGCGCCAGTCCGCCCCTGGGCGGTGCGGCCGCCGCTCGCCCCCATGTGGAGCGCGGCGCGGCGGCGCGCCGGACCGAACGAACTCCCCCCCGCCCCCCCAGCCCCCCACCTCCCCACGCTCCCACCTCCCTCCTCCACGTCCTCCTCCTCGTCCTCGTCCTCGTCCTCGTCCGCCTGCTGCTGCTGCTCACGGCAAATTTTGGGATATCCTGCTCATCGTCGTGTCCTCCTCCTCCTCCTCCTCCTCCTCCTCCTCCCTCCTCTCTCCTCCTCCTCCTCCGCCTCCGCCTCCTCCTCCCCTCCGCCCGCTCCCATCTCATCCCCCCGTCCTCCTCCTCGTCCTCCTCCTCCCCCCTCCCTCCAGAACACCCTGATCCCCCCCTCCACCTCCTCCTCGTCCTATCCTCCTCCTCCTCTCTCCTCTTCCTCCTCTCCCTCCTACCCCTCTCCCCGCTCCCACCTCCCCGCTCCCCACCTCCTCCTCCTCCCTCCTCCTCCTCCTCCTCCTCTCCCGTCCTCGTCCCTTCCTCCTCGTCATCCTCCTCCTCCTCCTCCTCCTCCTCCTGCCTCCTCCTCCTCCTCCTCCTCCTCCTCCTCCTCCTCCTCCCCCTCCTCCCCGCTCCCCCCTCCCCCCTACCCCCGCTCCCCTCCTCCTCCCTCCTCCTCCTCCTCCTCCTCCTCCTCCTCCTCCTCCTCCCCCTCCTCCTCCCTCACCCCGCTCCACCTGTGTCATCTCTTCCCGCTCGTGCTACATGACATTGCTTGGCACCGATGCGTGGAATCACGTGGCGCTGCTTGGCATTGCCCAGCATTGCCCAGCATTGCTCTGCATTGCTTGGCAGTGCTTGGCATTGCGTGGCATTGCGTGGCGTTGCTTGGTACTGCTTGGCATTGCTTGGCATTGCGTGACACTGCTTGGCAGTGCTTCGCATTGCTTGACATTGCGTGGGATTGCGTGGCCTTGCTTGGTACTGCTTGGCACTGCTTGGCATTGCGTGGCACTTGCTGGCATTGCTTGACATTGAGTGCAATTGAGTTGCATTGTACTGGCAGGCCTCCTCCCCTCCTCCACCTTCCTCCCAGTCCACCTCCTCTTCCTCGTCCTCCTCATCCTCCTCCTCCTCGTCCTCCTCCTCCCCCTCCTCCTCCTCTCCTCCCTCCTCCTCCTCCTCCTCTCCCCTCCTCCTCCTCCTCCTCCTCCCTCCTCCTCCTCTCCTCCTCCTCCTCCTCCTCCTCCTTCTCCTCCTCCCTCCTCCTCCTCCTCCTCCTCCTCCTCCTCCTCCTCCTCCTCCTCCTCCTCCTCCTCCTCCTCCTCCTCCTCCTCCTCCTCCACCTCCCCCACTCCCCTCCCTCCGATTCACCATCTCCTCCTGTTGTGTTGCTTGGCATTGCTTGGCGCTGCTTGGCACCGTTAGTTGGCATCACATGGCGCTGCTCTGCATTGCCTGGCATTGCTCTGCACTGGTTGGCATTGCTTGGCCTCGCGTGGCATTGCAAGGGCAATCCCCCACCCAGCCTCCCCCCTCCCTCCGCTCCACCTCCTCTCCTCCTCTCCTCGTCCTCCTCCTCCCCTCCTACTCCCTCTTCCCCCTCCCCCCTCCCTCCGCTTCACCATCTCGTCATCCTGCATTGCGTGGCATTGCTTGGTACTGCTTGGTACCGTTGCCTGGCATCATGTGGCGCTGCTTGGCATTGCCTGGCATTGTTCTGCACTTCAAGGCATTGCTTGGCATTGCTTGGCATCGCGTGGCGTTGCTTGGCACTGCTTGGCACTGCTTGGCATTGCGCGGCACTGCCTGGCAATGCTTGGCATTGCACGGGCAGTCCCTCCCCCCTCCCCTCCCCCATTACCCCCGCCCCAATCTCTCCTCCGCATCGTTCTCCACCTACGTACTCCTCCTTCCGCATCCTCCTCCCCCTCCCCCTCCTCCTCCTCCTCCTCCCCCCCTTCCTCCTCCTCCTCCTCCTCCTTCTCCTCCTCCATACCTCCTCCTTCCGCTGTACCATCTCCTCCTTTCCTGCATTGCTTGGCATTGCTTGGCTCTGCGTGGCACCACGTGGCGCTGCTTGGCACTGCCCGGCACTGCGCTGCACTGCTCGTCAGCGCTTGGCATTGTGTGGCGCTGCGTGCGGTTGTCTGGTACTACTTGGCATTGCTTGGCATTGCGTGACACTGCTTGGCAGCGCTTGGCGTCGCTTGGCATTGAGCGGCATTGCATGGCGTTGCATGGAATGGCTTGGCAATACTTGGCATTGCGTGGCACTGCTTGGCATTGCTTGGCATCGCTTGGCATTGCGCGGTATTGCGTGGCATTGCATGGGCGATCCCCCTCCCTCTCCTTCTCCTCCCCCTCTTCCTTCTCCTCCTCTTCCTCCTCCTCCTCCTCCGTCTCCTCCTCCATACCTCCTCCTTCCGCTGTACCATCTCATCCTCCTGCATTGCTTGGCATTGCTTGACACTGCGTGGCACCGTTGCTTGGCATCATGTGGCACTGCTTGGCATTGCCAGGCATTGCTCTGCACTGCTTGGGGTTGCTTGGCATTGGGTGGACATGTTTGCTCGTGACGTCGGATCTCAGAGTCCAGACAAACGAAGGAGCGCCCCCTTCCTCCCTCTACACCACTTCACCCCCCCCATCCACCCCCCCTATCCACCCCCCCTATCCCCCCCCTCCTCCTCCTGCTCAGTCTCTTCCTCCTCGCCATTCTCTCACTCCCCCATGCTCTTCACCGACCTCTTGGTGAAAGAAGAGGAACATGTTTGTGGGAAATTCTCGGATGGTCCTGGAGTCTGTTCTGACTCTTCTAGGGATTTCGAAGGGAAAGGAGGCGGAGGAAAACGAGGGCACTCTATTTATACATACACATGCACCTTGGCATTGCGTGTCATTCGCTTCCCATTGCTTGGCACTACTGGGCATCGTTGCGAGGCATCATGTGGCGTTGCTTGGCATTGCTTTGCATTGCTTGGCGCTTGGGGAACCAAAAACTACTGATACCGCTACTCCCAGGACCTCCCTTGGCTTTGCGTGGCGTTGGGGGCACGAAACGATACAGATACCGCTACTCCCGGACATCTCCCAGGGTGCGCTCTGACTAGGATTTCGAAGCGAATCCAGCTGTGGCGACGAGGGCCGCCCAGAAGGCCCAACCAGGGGTACCCAGGAGGCCCGAGTAGAGGTATGGGTACCTTTCGGGCGTTGGCAAACTGGATTTAGTGGGACCTGGTTTAATGATGTGTACTGGGGGCCGCCACCCCCGCCCCGTTCCACTAACCGGAACTGCCGACACCCGAAAAACACCAGCTACGGCAGACCTGGTTGAGCGATTCTGGTCAATTCAAGGGCTTCGGGGCCCTACTACTAACCGGGTCCCCTTACCTGGGGTCCTGGTTATACCCGAACCCTGAGATCCGACGTTGCAAAAAAATGAAACTCCGTGAGAAATCTTGCCCGGAGCCCTGGGCCCAACCTTTCTTTGGGCGTGGCTTAACGGGGGGGTCATAAATGGGGGGGTCAGCAACGGTCCCCTTTCGTGCCCCTTTCGGGCCCCTCCGGAGCCCCAGGGGGCTCGTTTAGGTACCGTTTGGGTACCTTTTCGCACCACTCTCGCCACCCCCCCATGCATGACCCCCCTATTCCGCAACGCCCGATGTCTGTGCTATGTTTCGAGCCGGGTCGATCTGTGCGGCTCCGGGGGCCAGGGCTCGAGCGAGAAAACGCCGGACTCGCAGGAGTGGGGTCGCCAGGACCTCGCATATATAGGGAGCCTTTTCCTCCTCTCAGGCGTGGCTCGGCGTTGCGTCAAGTCGTGCCTGTCCCCCTAAAGGGGAGATTTTCGACGAAAAATAAAAGATACCCCCAAAATGCCCCAAGAAGGTAAAAAAAATGCAAAAAATAGTCCCCAGACCATTTTTGGACTATTTTACCTAACAGCGAAGACTGATAGGTTTCTAGTGGGGTCAAAAGAAAGCATCCTGATTCCCCAGGGGGGTCTGGGCAAGATCCGGGGGATGCCGGGGAAAACCGGGGATCCGCGCCTGATATGGGGGAACTCAGTCGGGGGGGCCGCGGGTGCACGCCTGATATGGGGGAAGTCTGTCGGGGGTGCCGCGGGTCCACGCCTGATATGGGGGAACTCAGCTGACGGGTGCCGCGGGTGCTTGCCTGATATGGGGGAACTCAGTCGGGGGGGCCGCGGGTGCACGCCTGATATGGGGGAAGTCTGTCGGGGGTGCCGCGGGTCCACGCCTGATATGGGGGAACTCAACTGAGGCCGAGGCTGAGGCTGCGGCTGAGGCTGAGGCAGGCTGAGGCTGAGGCTGAGGCAGGCTGATGCTGAGGCAGGCTGAGGCTGAGGCTGAGGCAGGCTGAGGCTGAGGCAGGCTGAGGCTGAGGCAGGCTGAGGCAGACGCTGAGGCAGGCTGATGCTGAAGGAAGGCTGAGGCTGAGGCTGAGAGGCTGCAGGCTGAGGCTGAGGCAGGCTGAGGCTGCAGGCTGAGGCTGAGGCTGAGGCAGGCTGAGCTGAGGCTGAGGCAGGCTGAGCTGAGGCAGGCTGGCTGAGGCAGGCTGAGGCTGAGGCTGCAGGCTGATGCTGAGGCAGGCTGAGGCTGAGGCTGAGGCTGCAGGCTGATGCAGGCTGAGGCTGAGGCTGAGGCTGGCAGGCTGAGGCTGAGGCCGAGGCTGAAGGCAGACTGAGGCTGAGGCTGAAGCAGGCTGAGGCTGAGGCTGAGGCAGGCTGAGGCTGAGGCTGAGGCAGGCTGAGGCTGAGGCAGGCTGAGGCTGAGGCTGAGGCTGAGGCTGAGGCTGCAGGCTGAGGCTGAGGCCGAGGCTGAAGGCAGACTGAGGCTGAGGCTGAAGCAGGCTGAGGCTGAGGCTGAGGCTGAGGCTGAGGCTGAGGCTGAGGCAGGCTGATGCTGAGGCAGGCTGAGGCTGAGGCTGTGACTGCGACTGCCGTTGCCACTGCGACTGTCATCGCGAATGCAACTGCGACTGCGAGAACAGCAGAATTCTACAACTGGATTCTCATCTGAATCTTAAGGGGAATGCTTCGAGATGTGCTTCTACACATCGCTGTTAGGTT